TATAATGTTATTATGTCAAGTATTGTTTACGCAATTGTCTTGTCACAGGCGACCTTAGGTCACGTTTCGAGAAAGAGCCAACGATTAATTCACGAACGCGTCACGCGTTGTGTGACTCAGAGTAAGTTATTCTAGGAACCGTTGAAATTTTGAACACGTTATAAGGAATAGTATAGGGAACGAAATATGGTCGATTTACAACGATAAATATTTCGAAATATGAAGATTTTTCTCGAAAAATCAATAAAACTTACTCATGCCCTGTGTATCCGTTGTAGTTTCTGGCGATTGTTGCCGTTTTAAGCTTGCTTGACCATTACTATTATTCATGTCATCTACTTTTATTACATTGGTAAAATCTGTACAGACATCACACCAACCAACTCGCGCGCAAAGTAAGAAGACTATGTTGAAGGCTTGAAATTATATTACGATCGATTTTCATCAAGAAATGGGCCAGAAATTTTCCACAATAGTGCAAATAATCGTGAAGGCTGATCGCGGAAAAGCGATTGCGTGACGCTCGGTAAGCTGTAAGATGACATGTTATTATATACCAGACGTAAAAACTCTTCAGATTCTCAGTCTGCATTTTTTACCCACTCTGCAGTCTATATTTTGCATCCGGTCTGCAGTCTGCTGTCTACATTTTGTACTAACATGTATCCGTGGCACAAATAAAGTTTATTTTTGGTTACATTTATTCGCTCAACACACATAATCTACCACAAAATACCTGTGTGTGAGGTAATTCGACATTTTCATTCTTTCCCGCGTTAATAATCTTCTTTCCTTTTGTAAGAATGTAGACCACTTACAGTGTTTCAAGTAATCCACCCACCCTAGAAAAAATGACTCTTGCATGCATAGCATGCCTGTTTTGAGACAGGTGTATGCCCTTGGCCAGACTTGAGCTCACTATTTCAGTATACTAGTCCGACACGCGTAGTATCACTACACTTGATTCCACGGATCCAGTACCATCCAGGTATCCCAGTTACCCTGCTCACAGGGTCTAGTTCGTCTAGTTGCAGACGAATAGTAACGGTGATACATGTTTTAAGTTAGCGTAAACGACATTGTTGGAAGAAAAAAATAGCTGTTGTACAACTAGTCCAACTACATAACGATAAGAGTAAACATATGACATTTCTCAGCATTTTTAATTCTCTTACATCGGCAAAATCTTTGAATGATTTCTTCGGAAAAATTCCGTAAAGCCATTTCCGAGCTAAAAGGACATGACTAAAGGTTAGCGTTCAATGGATATTACACTAGAAAATATTCACAGCATTAGCATGTTGGTTAAGATTGCCAGGTCGCTCCCACTATTTCAAACTTCCAACCTTAGGTAAACGCGTGAGAATCGTTTGACCGTAAGGGAGGGAGAAGTTGGTTTTTGAGCGCTGAGAACAAGTGTATCCATCCAGATCATAGGAAAACTGTTTCCAGCCACCTGAACCCCCATCAGTTAGGTTCAACACTGAATTTGCCGAGTCTGCAGAGACGAAATTAGATGATCAGATGTTCATGAACACTTGGCCCGTGGAACATGCAGCACATTCTCGAGCTCTGAAAAAAGCGTCGATCCCGAGGAAACTTTATTCTGATGCAGATAAGATATTTGTCGCCCACGAACAACTGGATGTTGTCGTGAATGTGCAAGTAAAATTGACTACTGATAAAGATTTAAGATCAGTGCATCATTACGAAAATTCCATTTTCCATGAAACACTTTTCTGGTCTTCAGACTATTTCGGCAATGTTTTCAGTCAGTCTATACTTTTTAATTTTGATGGGCGTTTTCAGTTGTGTTCACAGGCACGATACACTTTCGGGACTTGGATTTTTTATTTCCGCTCTTGAAGGTTCTAAGTTTTGTCTAATTGTTGCGACTCCCAGCCTCCCGGTACGTGACAGCTTTCTTTTAGACAAGCATGCCAATTGTCCATAGAGTTATTTTATCTATTTTAGACTCAATTTAGACTTTCCGACCTTCGAATTCGGCTTCAGTTGCCTTTCCAAAATTAACGGGTCGTTTCTTACAAAAATTTGGACAACATGCTTTGAAGAGGACGATGGAAGCAGACAACGGTTCTTGTTTCCGTTCTTCAACTATCACGAACTTATTTCACAAGAAACATTCACTTAAATCGTACGTGGACACACAGATATATGAATAAACAAATTAGTATACAAATAAAAGTTAAATAACGAGTTACATCTATTAGTGATCCTTGCGATCCGATTGGCGCTGGTCTTATGTCTTAGGTCTTTTGCTCTGAATTGCATCTTTTTCCAAGTCAGTGGGAAGTAAACCCTAAAACAAAACAACCAATCAGATTACAAGGCTTATTTAAAGTAATCAACAAAATAAAATAAAATGATAAGCAAAGAAAACATTGTGAAGTGAATTTTGCAACTCTCGTCCCCCGATTGTCCTTTATTGATTTACAATAACGCACCGAAGAGTTTTGTACAGCAATGAAATCGCTCATTTGACCAAGTCTATTAACTCTGGTTATTTCCGAAAGCTAGATAGATTGTTCTTCAGGTACCCCAAGTGTTTTTTTTTATCGGACCATTGGGGAAAAAGGAAAATTTCTTCGCAGTTGGCATCGGAGCGGAAATATTGTTGTCTAATGTAGAGATACAGTGGCCAGAATCTCTTTTGCGGCGCTACTTCGCGAAAAATCACACCGACAGACTCTTATTTCGCTTAGCATTTCGCTTCGAGCATCAACCCAGTCGCTGAAATGCATGCTTTGTGTTTGCCTTATAGTTCTCCTTCCTCTGCCTGACCTTTTTCCTCCCCTTTTTAAGCGTCATCCCTGGTTGGTTAAAGTAAAGCACCTTTCATATCAACACGGCTAAAAATTTACGGGTGTAATGGTTTGAGCACTCAGTTGTGAGAGCAATCAGCACATGGATGGTAGAAGTATTTTTAAAAAGGTTTTTAGTGTAAAGATGATTTGGTTTTAACAACTAAGTTGATAATGTGAATTGGCCACCGTTAAGAGTTTTCAAAGCTGACTTTCCGGCAGAGAGTTAGACCTTCGTCACAGCGAATGCATATGGTTAACGCTCGAAACTTCAGCTTGGAAACTGTTCATGCATTTTCATCTCAGTTAATGAAGACAAATTATCTTGCCGGGGAGTTGTGTAGCCCACCAACGCTGTACCACAGTTTCTTTAGAAACTTACCCCTTTTATTTT